CCAGGTACACATATTTTAGTTCTTAAACATAAAGCACACAGATACATGCATTCCACATAGCTGCTGCTAACCAGAAGTCTTTACATGTGCAAGTATGTACCCACCACGGAATACAAATGTGGATAAGCATCAAAATATAAAGTCAGATTTACAACCTTGAATTAAGAAACAGGAATCAAAGCAGGGTGAGAAATACTGAGAGCTCTGTTTCCTGAGCTATTCTGAAATAATAAGAGTGCAGACAGTGTTACGGTAGCATTCACATTCAGAATGCAGTTCTGCATCCAAGCATATAATCATATTTAACCCATCAGCCTAATTTTCAGACAGACTTGGCCATTCTTTAGGAGTACACATTTCCTTTATTAATAAAAGGTTTGGGACTTCAAAAGATAATTCAATCAATATGCATTTTTATTGTTGCCTACAATCCTTTCTTTGCTTTGTTGCTTTATCTTTGTTGTTGTTGTTGTACAACAAGTAATAAACTTGCACTACTTTCTTGAATTATTTAATTATTCAGTTTATTTTTTCATTCTACATTCGAAACTCAGGGCTGAAGGCATTGAAAAAAGGCGACCTATCATTACCAACAAGAGGCACTCAATAAAAGTAACTGCTACACAGAACTACGTTTTGTTTTGAAATGGAGGTGATGGGGATACTGTGGACATCTCAAGACAAATTACTGCGGGACTGAAACATTGCGCAGAAGGAGTTAAGATGGTATTCTCAGTGCTATCAGTGTTCCTCACACTGGCTGACTTATTGCTGTCAAAACACAACACAGTATTCAGCCACATTTTTTGTAAACGTGTCACAACTGATACATAAGTAAATTCATACTGAATTGAACCTACCTTATAAGAGATTATACAACAGCACCCATTAAGTAGCATTTCTTTCCACTCTGCTGAACAATGTACAAAAAGCAAGAGCATTCCTTTTAAACTACCTACCATATTATATTGAACTTTAAAAAGAGTCAACGCAACAAGCTCCTCAGTATCAACAGTGTACGACAAGGAGATACTTTTCAAAAAAACTGAGAGAACAGCACTGAAATACATTATATTAGCCTAGGATTCCTGAAAAACAAAAATCTTTTATTTCTTAGGAGAATAAGCATGGTACAAGGAGTGGCAGAGCAACTAGGTGCGTTTTCTTTCAGTTATACTTAATACTCAGATGTACAGAATCATGTCCTTGAACGAGATAGTTTGCATTAAAATAACTTGGAAAGAAGCTTTTACATTAATCTGAGAGATTTCTGTTGTGGACACAATTTAAAACAGAATGGGCTAAACTAGAATTGCACTGAATAACTGCTGAATAACTGTTAAGAATGAATTTAAAACTGAGAAGTATCATAGCCGTGTGGTTTAGTAATCCCATGAACTATCAACTTCCTAATCAACAATCCTAATCAACAACTATAAGAATTCTCCCAGCCCAATTCCTTTAATTATATGGAATAGGACATCCAATAACAGAATCTGGCACAAATAAGCTGAATTTTTAAAAGCTCTCATTTTTTTCCGCTCCTGAAAAGGCCAAAAGCCAACATGCTGCCTGTTTCAAAATTCAGCAGATGGCTGTCAGTCAGGTACTGGTAAATCCATACCAGCTAGCACAATATAGAACTTGCTCATTTGCTCAGTTTTAGTTAGAGCCTAGCTCTTGGGCAAGTTCTTTTCCCTGGTTTTAACAGACATTTACTCTACCAAGCAAATACAGAGAAGCTAATTAAAATTATGAAAACCTGTCTATTTCTCTTATTCCAAAACCTGAAATAAACTTGCATTTGTTTTTCACTACAAGCCTCACAACTTGCATCCTCCATCCCAGTGTGCTTCAGGAAACACAGAAAAAGCAGACATCAGGTTTGGCCTCAGCAGCAATCAAAAAACTTGTCTGGGAACATCAGGCTCTCTGTAGTGCCAAGGCAGTAGACAGCAGCCAAGAAGTGCCTACAGCACACCAAGTCTGCTAAATCCAGGTCCCATGGCTCAGCTGGTGGCACAATTGGCAGGGACCGTGCCTGCTTTGCCATGTGGTCAAGGGCTCCCATCACACTGACAGAAGTGCTGCTCAGGGAAGGAAAAATGAGACTTGACACGTATGGAAATCAGGGCTTGAGGGCACCGAGACAGGAGGAGGGAAGAAACAGGCCAGGCATCCCAGACAAGCTGTTTTAATGAAAGCCTGGGAGAACTACCAGATGCAGAAACTGGCTCAAGAAGTTCCAGTTGGTGTTTTGAGATTCACAGAAATGAAGCTGAAATTCTGATAGGAAGCACACAGGTAGAGAAGATGGCTAGGCATAGCTTTCAAGTCAGGAAAAAAGGAGACCCTGTTGCTACTTTTAGGAGAACAATTCACAACTTTACCTCTGAATCTTTCCCAGAGCACCACATGTAGATTTGTCTTCCTAAGGCACTTGCAACTAGCTGCCTAGCAGGCTGGATTTTGCTGGCCACTCTCAATAGCAAAAAGTTTTATCATATTAAGTTGTTGGTTGTTCAAATGGCAAATCCTTTTTCCACTATTGCATAAAATTTAAAATTACACAGTAAACAATGTGACAATAGTAATTTTCATTTCCTAAAGATGAGTAAAGTAAGCGGTGATTCTGTAGATGGACTAACCAAAAGCTACTTTTTCTTAGCCTTCAACTTATCTGGTGCACTTGGAAGTCTATAAAATACATTTTTATCAAAAGCGTACAAAATAGGCTTAAAAACCAATCCATAAATATCTAATGGATTTAAAGCTTTTGTGTTGAAAGGCAGAATTCATGCTGTTCCCTCACAGGGGCATTTTCCAGTACTCACATTCAGATTTTCAAAATACAGATCCACAGAGACTGAGGTTTCAGGGAGTTCTCCAGGAATACAGCAACAGTCAGCAGGTCAGGCTGATGGTTGGACTTTATGATCTTGAAGGTGTTTTCCAACCCAGATAATTCCACAATTCTATACATCATTGCTTGTCAGCAAATACTTCACTTAATCATACTTTCATAAAAATAAATTCCTCTTTCAAGAGTCCAGTTTAAAAAAAAATACCTTTTGAAATTGAGTCATAGGTAAAAGTATATGCTTGGTTCTAACAGCTGACCTAAATTCTTGAGTGAGTTCATGTAGAGTTACAGAAATGATGTTTTAGCTGTGAGAACACTCCCATTCTTTAAATCTCAAGCAGCATGTTTACTGACAACTATATCACCACGTTTACCACATCAGCGATTTCAACTTCTTCATTCTGTCACAAACATTACATTAAAAACAGCCTCCATCAAATTCTTTCATACACTGGAGCTAAATTTTGCAACCAGAATTTCTGCCAATCTGATACGGGGGAAAAATAATAACCAACACTTCTACTTGTACGGTCTTGTTCTTCAATTCTCTAGAAACACGAGCAGCTGTATCTAATACCTACTAGCATTCTTGACTGCATTAGGCAAAGTACTGCCAGGAGGCCAAGAGAAGTGATCCTTTCCCTCCAGAGAGGCTGCACCTGGAGCACTGTGTCCAGTTCTGGACCCTCCATTAGAAGAGAGATCTGGACATAACGGAGACAGTCCAGTGGAGGGCTGGCAGGATGCTGGAAGGACTGGAGGACTTCTCCTACGATGACAGGCTGAGAGAGCTGGGTCTGCTCAGCCTGGAAGAGGCTCAGAGGGACCTCATCAACATCTATAAATACCTGAAGGGAGGATGCGAAGCGGACAAAACCGGGCTCTTTTCAGTGATGCCCAATGTCAGGACAAAGGGCCATGCACACTAGCTAGAGCATAGGAGCTTCTGTCTGAACACCAGGAAGAACTTCTGTGCTGGTGACAGGGCACTGGCCCAGGCTGCCTGGAGAGGCTGTGGAGTCTCCTCCTTAGAGATCTTCAAAGGCCACCTGGATGTGGGCCTGGGCACCCTGCTGTGGATGTCACTGCTTGAGCAGAGGTTGGACCAGATGGACCCTCCACACCTCAGCCATGCTGTAATTCTCTAATGCTTGCTCTACAACACATCCCTTTCAGCATTTTAAATCAGAACATTTCTATACAGAATTGACAAAAAAATACAAGTTGTCACAACAGACAAGTCATCTATTGGAATTAAACTATTTCAAAGAACTATTCATTGTTTTATTGAATAAGATCTACATATCATTAAAAACTAAGTCAAACTACTACCCATAAATAAAAGTCAGTTTATACCTTTTCAAATGTCTTTTTTTAACAGTTAAACGTTTTTAAACCTTTCTATAGAAGTCAAAATTGAGAACAAGGAACTAAAAATTTAAATGGCTTCTACTACTAGTTTTGATTAGAGCTCTGGAATCTCTTTTTCACAGACAGCACCAGAATTAATTTCATGTTTCTCCCTGGTTTTGTTTCAGCTGGGTGGAATTATATTCTTCAGAGTATCTGGTATGATATTATGGCTTTGTTGTAGGAGAAAAATACTGTTGATAACACAGCAATGTTTATATAGCTGCCACTAAGCAGTGTTATACAGAGCCAAGGCCATTTACAATGAAGGTCCCAAGGAGCTGGGAGCAAAGAGAACAAGGACAGCTGACTTAAACTTGCCAAAGAGATATTCCACAGCACATGCAGAAGGAGTTTTAAAGGGGATGGAAGTTCATTGCTCTCTTCCGCTGTTTGAGGGACTAGCTGGGCACTGCTTGGTGGGTAGTGAGCAACTGCTTATGCATCACTTCCTACATACATTCATATATATACAGACATAACTACTACGCTTTTCATTTTCACTTAGTAAATAATTTTACCTCATACTCTGAGTTCTACTTTTTATTTTTTTTCCCAATTCTCTCCCCCATCACACTGGGAATGTGGGCAGTAAGCAAAACAGAACACGCCCCAAAACTACTTTGACTTAAATATTGCTTCCTATGAATGATTGCTTTCTTAGTCCATCATACAAAATGGAATGACTGTGCGCATTGTATGAAGAAAAAAAAAAAAGTGCACTTACCAAGTGAACATAAGGCACAAAGTATCCAAAAAGTGCAGCAGGAATCCCCAAAGCCCAGATTCGATAACTCATGACTTTGAAAACGGAGAAATTGAAAACCTTTTTTTCAGGAGGAAATCTGAACTTGCCCTTCTTTTCTCCTTCATCTTTGGTGTTGGAAACAAGAGGTTTGTACGTAAAGCCAGCCAGAAACAGAATAAACATGAGGATGCACAGGACCCGTAATGTGTTGAACAGGCCAACAGAATCAATCAGAACTCTCAAGAGGAAGGGCAGAGACACAGTGAACAAGCTGCTTCCTGCAGTCACGATGCCATTTACTAGTCCAAGGCGTTTCTTGAAATAGTGCCCAAGAATGACCAAAGATGGCTGGTAAGCAAATGAGCAGCCACAGGCAAATAATATTCCATAGGTGAAGTACAGAGGTTCAATGGTGCTGTATTAAAAATAAAAAATAGGAAAAAAAAATTGTAAAACAATGCATGCTCACATTCAGATACCACACAGAAGTGTTTTTCCAATTAATTGACATATTTTCAGAAATGAGTTAAGAGTTTGTATGTGGTTGCTCCAAAAGTAATGTGTCCTGTTTGGAATTTCCATGGAAACTACAAGTGCAAAGAGACAACAACACTGTTTGATAGAGCAAATTCTCAGCTACAAAACACTCTTTGTCAACATAGTCACGACCATTAGCCAATCTATATGGATGAGCTGATTGAGACTCTTCATTTTGTGGTGTGACGGCTGTGCGTGGCTGTCTGGAACGTGGCTTGTCCTTCACATTGCTCTCGCCACGGCTGAAATGCTTCACCCACAGCCTCACTGTGCTCAATCCACTGTTTGGTCTCCATCAACATTCAGCAAACATTGATGAATGTCAAAGGGTGCCATTTTTTCCATGTGGATGAATTCAGCGACACATCTTTGCTTCATACACACTTCTTCTATGTCGGACACCATATTGTCAGACTGCCCTTCTGCTGCCATCACACGACAAAAAAATGTAATAGAATATTGGTGGGAAGGTTCAATTTTACTGCCACAACCCAAACATCCACCTCTGATGTTGTGGACCAATATAATAAAATAGGAGGCATTACTTTCAGAGCAGCCCTCATACTACCAGTGTAAATGCTTTCTGTAGTGGTTTTCAGCATAGGATGCCATCTGCCAATATTCCTCCATACCAGAGTATGACAATGCACTTTGCAAGTTTCCCATGCCATTTTAGAAATTCTTAGAACATAGTATTTGATTCACAGGTCTCACACCAGGAACTGAGAATTTACATGTTACCGTGCAAAAGAATGCATTTGCAATATTACTGTTTCTTTCTGCATTAAACTATCAATTTAAAAATTTGATTATATTTAAATTAGCCAAAAGAAACAACTAATTACTTCAGTCAATGGAAAAATATCAAAGAAACTAAAATCAGAATTTATGAGAGAAAGAACATAATGCAGTAAGGACACAGAACTTTTTCTTCCTTCTGTGGATCCAAACACTTTGCAGTATGACACATATTGAAAAATATTTCTCCTGCATTAAATAATCTTACGTCTCAGCTTCCTAAGAGATAAAACTTGTATTACATATGGAACAAGCAGTAAATCATATTTACATTCATCTGCTGTATGAAATACTACTGTTAAAACACTTCTATATCAGAACTATACTCCCTCAATTAACTGATAATATCAACATAAGTCATTTGATAGTGTGAGTAACATAATGAAATACTAAGAATGCACATTAACTTGGAATGTATTTTAACAAGAATTCATCTCTCATCCCAAGCTCACGACTGCTCCTCTAAAACAAAATTCTAAAAAAGCTACATCTTTAAAGCCTGTAAAAATTTTTGTTTGCACCTTCTGTGGTGTTTTTCCAGTGGAAATCAAAGAAATACGGAAGGATGGCAGCATTTTCTTCAAAAGAAATACCTTTCCTTTTAATTTACAATAATGAAGTTCCTGTAGTATTTAGCAGTTACCACAAGACTGTGCTACATGGGGATGAAGAAGAACTTTTTCCAATATGTATTCTTTTAGTTTTCACCTCAAATGTGATGGCAATCCTCTGGAAACATATCAGGCAGAAAGTGTTGTTTTGTTTGCTTTAAATAAAATGTATTAATCTAAATCTTTACACTTAGATTAACTAAAAACAAAAACATATTTAAAAAAATGGAAACTTGTTTACGTAACAAGACAGTTTCCTTTTCCCATGAATATTATTTATTCCCAGAATAAATAAAAACACTGGCCTCAGCACCTAAATCAAGGCTATTTTCCTATAAACTTGTTACATGTTTTCACATCAGGGGACATACACCCCAAGTAGGGGTGTTAGTTCAAGATAGCACCATGCAGCACTGATATCCATCCATGCAGATAACAGACAGCTCACACATGTCTGGTTCAGAGCACAGGCACAGAAAACACTTTCACAAGCCTGTTGATATTGATAGAAAGTGTAGAAATAGAAATTGGCATTTCTACATAGAAAACTCTTCTGAATTCTGCTCTATGCTCTGCTAAGGATAGAAAAGGCAGACTGAGAACTAGAAATAAATGGAGCTTATTTTCCTGCTATTTCTTTCCCTATCTTTACTAACTGGTTTCTGCAGATGACTAAAATCAGAGAGTAAGTTTCCTGTTTCCTCATCTTCTATTATGCATGCCACTCAAACTTCTTGGGATTTGTTCTGCAAAAAGTATAGAAAATGAAGTATAACCTGGAGGGAAGACAAACACTCCACTACTGTTGAAGTATATTCAATAGAGACTTCCTCACAGTAAGCCCTAAGGATCCATCATTACACCAATGTTTTTGCTATCTTAACATTTGGCAGCTAGACTGGTAAGAACAGAAGGAAACTTTGAATTTGACTGGAACACCAACACCTCCCTGGAGGTTACCACATCGTTTTGCTATTGATAAGCTTATACAAACTGGCTCCTCATAAATAGGATGTGCTGTTATGAGGTTACATTACATCTTACAAATAATTTTTGAATTTGAAAGCACCGCTTTTGATTATTCATGGTAGTCACAGCTAGAAAAACAGCAATAGAACAATGTCTTCAGCTATAAGATAAAGTAACATTACTTATTCCTTCGTATTCAGTTGATGGGAGGATCAGCAAAAAACTGATAGAAGTATTTTGAATGTAATTTAAAAAGATTGTTTTTACCTTACAAAAGAACTTGACAGGAGTCCAACAAAACCTAATGCAGCTCCAGTAACAGCAACTTTTCGGCAACCGAACAGGTCTGTGAATATGCTGACTATTGGAGAACAGAAGAAGACCATTCCCATAGACAGTGAGCTCACCCATGCTGCAGAACAGAAAAAGACAGCACATTTTAGAAGATCGCACGATTTAAGCTTTCAGCAACTACCTGTTCTGATTGAGCACCGCATCATGCCTATGGCTATGTGTTTAAATATCTTTACCTAACACAGTACAAATGAAAGCCCTGACCAATTCACATGATCAAGTAATTTAGATTTCATCAGCTCCAAGAATACAACTGACTTTAGTCGTAAAAAAATAAATAAATAAAATATTTTTAAACACATTTACTCCACCAGGGACTAAGCTAGAATTCACTCTAATGACCAGGCCATTAACGACAACTTGTAGATACAGATAATTCCACATTCTTTCTGAAATTTATGAGCACATTTCACTTGATATACTTTTATACTTTTTTGTCAACCTTAAATGGCTAAGTTTGCTGAAAAGTTTAACAAATGTTTTATTTAATTGCACAGATCTAGATCAAGCTGGAGCTTTATAAACATTGCTTAACCTATAGTTCTTTGTTTATCAGTGAGTCTTTAGATAATTAAAACTTAATTCAGGTAAGTATACTAAAGTTAAACACTTCTGTGGCTGAATAACAAACTACAGTATCTTCAAGTACATTAGGTGTAAGATTGATTAATTTTAAATTAAAAATCAACTTTCTTTTTCACTTTGTGCAGGTATTCAAAAGGCATCATTTACCAGCTATCATGTAGTCATTCTTTCAAACACACATTAGTGATGTATCAACCAAGAGTTCTCCCAGGTCATAAAGGTAAGATATTTAGAGACATAAATAAGTCTGTTATATCTCTTCAGGAAAAAAAAATTGGCCTACTGGCTAATGAAAAAAAGCTGCTGAGGCAAGACACACAAAAAAATATTTTAACTTGTTTCTGAATTGTATGGAAGATAAAAGAGCTCTTTCCATCTGGAATAGGTTTGAATTCCTGTAACTGGGATTTTACTTAGATTATCTTTGCTAGTGACAGTTAGATAAACAATGGTGATTTGGTGACAAAGGCAAATAACATTATCTGAAAAAATAAAACGCAACCAACAGACCTAAGGAGGAATATTTGGAAGCGGATACACCGATATCAGGCTTTAGAAGTAGTTGCTGAAGTGCCTATGAGACATGGTCTGGGCACTGCAAAGACCCCATGTGCTAGGCACTGAAATAAACAGAGTGAAACAAACAAGCAAACAAAAGTACTGTTTCTTCAAAAGCATTTAGAACGTAAACGAAAGACAAAAGAACAGCTGGTTAGAGACAAACAGGAATGAGAATATACGACATAGAACCTTCCTTTTAGGAAAAACAGTGATTTCGATGAACTGCGACCTGTTTTGAACAGTTTGTTGTTTATTGAGAATGTGAAAAACACCACAGAGTTTCAAGGAACGATCTGTAGAAGAACGAGGTACTTTTCATGGGTAGCTGCTGCATTTGCTGATTAGCCCAGACTCCAATGCCCTGTCAACCCTGCACTCTGTGACATTAAGTTTCAGGGCTGTGCAAAGGAAGAGCGGGCAACACTGAGTGAAACAAGGCCCCCGAGACACTGAAAGGAAAGGACACTGGAAGAGTTTAACTTGTATAAGGGCACAGACCACATTGTTTCATAGCCCCGTGTAAGAGCGCAGCAGTTCTAATTTCCAATCAGCACAGGCTGTGTGATTCATGCAGCATTCTCCTTGGTTTAAGCAAATAGTTGGCAGGACTTTTACAGGCCTTCAAAGATAATAAAACTGGAATATAAAAGCCTTAGGTGAAAACATTCAGCTCCAATCACATTCAGTTAACTTGCTGACTTCGATTTTCGTGTGTCCTAATGAAAGAAATATGCCTCTTATCACTTGTTTCTTTTCTTATTACAGCAATGACAAGCTAATCCTAAAATAGGAGAAAGGTTCCACAGATCTCCCACATAACGTGGGGTCAAAAAGGAAGGGAACAGCCTTATCTGAGGCATTTCACAAACAGCACTGTGACAGAAGTCCAGAAGTGGCAGTCCATGCTCTACCACTTCCCTACCTAAAGCAAACTGGAGCACTTTAACTTACAGTTCCTGTGAGATTCTTGGATCCCACAGAAAAGGAACTTGCACAGATTCTTTTGGCATGCCTGGTATAAACACCCTTATTACCCTTAACAAAAAGAACGGTCTTTAAGTTAACTTCACACGTGTGCATAATTCAAGGAAATTTGTCTTTATCCTTTGTGAAGAAGCTGAGCACACACACAAAAAAGAAAGCAGAAAAGCACATGTGAACCTTATTTCCTGAAGGCAAGCATGCCTTGCTGCAGTAACGTGATCCTACGAAGAAGTTGATGGATATAAAATACATAAAATATAAAATACAATCAGAGTGCTTTTCAATTCTTTGTTCTAAAAAGCTTTTCTTATATTTCTTTCACTTCTTCCTCTCTGTATGCAGAAGGAAAAATTAATTGCATTTGGCATTTTAAAATGCAAATTATAACGACTGTCCCAAACAACTCATATGAAAAATCCAAATGCAGCTTGCCAGGATTGCACAAGTCCTCTAGAGCACCTATTACACATTGAGTAAAACACTTTTCTTCCAGGCCACTGGCTGCTTTCCTACTCACATGCTGGCTATATTCCAGAACTGTTATTTCAGACACTAATGTAACAACTAACCTCTGTATTTGTGTTGATACTCATACACAAAACATTTTGACTGCCATAGAAAAAGAGCTATTCCTACTGAAAGCAATTAAACTTTCCTTGGGCACTGGAGCTTCAGGACTTACTTCTCAAAACACGTCATTGCAAAACAGCCAGTTTCTGAGCTTCTCTAGAAGTTACTCCTCAAATCAAAAATATCAGACCAGAGAGTCTGTGGTAGCACCCATACTGAAGAGTCCCTGAGCCACTGAAGCACAGTATACTATTCAAAAAAAAAAGCAACATTTACTGTAACTAAAATCATGCTGAAATAAGAATCTCCGCTATGTCCTTTTCTTATCAGTTCACTGCAAATGGAAATAATGCAGCTGTAAGCAGAGAATGTTTGTACACTGTTTCTCTGTCCAAGAGTCTGCAGCTATAAAACCACAGCACACACTCCACAAATATGCTGCTGTTTTATTGCTTTAAAAAATGATTATGATTTAAATAGCACGACTTTCGTCTTCAGCAATAAATGTAAGTAGCCATTATCTGTCAGCAAAAATTGTTCCCATTGTCACAGCTGGATTGCATAATATACATTTATACCCCAAGCTGTCAAATGCTTTAGTTCATTCTGCAGACAGAAACACTAGGACTTACGAGACAATGGAAAAGAAAGCATTAATAGCATTTCACACTGAAATGCTTCTACTGTACACAAATTTAAAGGCTACCCCTCTATAGCATTCCTATTTACTTCTTTTTTTTTTTTTTTTTTTTTTTTTTCTTCTGAGCATTGCACTGAAAGTTATCAGTTTTATCCTCACCAAAGCCTTTCAAGTGGCTGGCTTAATACAGCACTAACACCCTTCATTCTCTGATGAACTTAAAGATTTTTTTTTTTTTAAAGTATCCCCCCCTGGGAATTTTTGAGGCAGGAACAAAAAGCCATTGTTTGGAAGACAGAAGGCAAACCAAGAGAAGAATATTTAAGTTGAGGAGTCAATATCAACTCCAAAAATATTTTGTCTGCCCATATTAAAAATCAGATGTGTTTGTGTAGCTCACGTAGTAAATCAAGATAGAAGTAAAAGTCGGGCTCACTGAATAGCTTGCAGAACAATGTGTTTGGAATTGCCCATGCTGAGACAAAGCAGAGATCTTGATAAACAAGAGCAACTTGTCTACACCGAATGCCACAGCAGATTCTCTTAACATAATTCTATAGCTAGGCTGGTGAAATTTGCAGGACAGATGGGCCAGCCATTGCTTACACCTCTGCTCACTATCAGACCTCCTTCCTAAAAATCCATTCTCTCACCCCATTGTGCAACCAGCACAACACTTCAGGCGGTACTGCACTAGAGCTTGCAATGCCCAGAGTGATGCTGGATAATAAAGTGCTGTGTTTTAACTCATGAGGAACAGAAAGTGCAGAATCAGGGACAACCTGCTTTAGAGTTAGCCTCTATGTTTATGAAATGAAAACAATACTTCTCTCATACTAACAAAAATATGTGAAATTATTGTTTCAAGTAATCTAGAGAGCAGATTTCTAAGACAAAATACTTTGAAGTGTTCAAATGAAATAAGCAATATGGGACAAGTGATGTGGACAGCAGATGTTTAATAGTTTTCATTGTCACCGAAAATGCTTATGTGGAAAAGTCTACTATAATAAAATTACAATACAGAGTTAATACAACTGCTTAAATAATGGCACTTAGTAATTTCTGAATGCGTGACTTTAACATTATCTAGGAGTTCTCCTTTTGTACAGCAAAAAACACTGCAAGAAAAGAGAAGGACAACATTTACTAGATAAAAACTTCATGCTTTCATTTGGTTATTAGTTATGACATGCAAGAACAGTGCAGAATGTAGGTACTCTCCCAGCCTCAAACCAGTAACAGCTGTGGAGATTTCCTGAATCATAATTTTTGTTTTAAAAGAAGTTAACCTCTATCTTTTTCAGTATATCCTGGTTACTTTCATTTCTTTCCCTCCCAGAACAATTCCATATTCTCAGCACCCACAACACCTTACAGCAAACTGCTCTGTAATTCCACTCTGGGCTGTATGATCTCCAGTTCTACTGTCCAGTTACCTACAAAGGCAATACCATTCAGCAAAGCGTACAAATGGCTTCCACAAGATTGTTTTTTTACTTTAGAAAGGAAATTTGGGAAACCTGGATGCCTGTTCAAAGTAATTTCTGGAGATGATTAGCTCTCCAGCTCTTATTCATGATTCCTTGCCTGTATCATCACATTTACACAGCATTTCTTTTAAGAACAAAAGAACTGCAGTACTGTGTAGATCAGCATCCTGTTCTGGCCATCACAAAACACTGAGCCAAAGAACACCTGAAAGAGGGCTAGCATTC